TAGAAGATATCACAGAGTCTGACACAACTGTTTCCTATTTGGATATTTTTCTTGAAAAAGACGTTCGTGGTAATCTAACAACCAAGCTCTACGTATGATAAACGTGATGACCTAAACTTTTCTATCGTCAACTTTCCTTACTTATACGGAGTTTGTATCTCTCAGTTGATTCGATACGCAAGGGCATGCTCTACGTATGAACAATTCCTAAAACTAGGTAAATTATTGACAAACTACTTCATGAAACAAGAATATCAACAGTCTCGTTATAAGTCATCATTTCGTAAGTTCTATGGTCGATACAATGACCTTGTCAGCAAATACAATTTATTATTGAGTCAAATGCTGACTGACATTTTTCATACTAATTGTTAGTCCATTATTTTACAGTGAATTGACGACGGATTTTTCCGTTATTTCCCGATTATGACAAGGAGCACACTGGTGACCGGTCGACAGGGAATGCTTACTCCTCCATGGCATCTGAACCCACCTCCGATCGATGTTTTGGAGGTCCGTGCTCCTTCTGCTTCTATTTTGTATTGTTTTATAGACTTTTGATCTTGAATACTATTCGTTATCACCATATGTTTCACTACAATAATTATTATATTGGAAGTTTAGAAAGTGAATGTGTCTTTTAATGCGTTTGAAATTTGGAATACATTTTTTTTAAATTTGAACACAGTTTGTTATCTCCATATACATGTACAATATTTCATTACACCACTGCTCTAATATATTGTCGAACAGTATTCTTGAATATTTCTGTTCACTACTGTTAATATCTTTGTGAGGAGTAAAAAAGAGGCTTGATTGAACATTTACTGGAACGTGCTATGCATCTTTGTTTGTAAAGATTCTTATGAAGTTTCTGAATTCAATATAGATAATTATGGTAATTCAAATTCATGTTTGTTGTTTGGAATATTAAAAATATTCAAAACTGACATATAATTTTGAAGAATTTCTTTATTAGAAAGGGAACTATGAGTATAAGTTGCATTACCACTTGTGGAATTAAATTCATGTTCTTCTAAAATACGATTTAATTGTTAATAATGAGCCTTACAAACGAAGACAATGTTGTTACCTGCTTTGTCAGCTGGGATCAGTGCGTACTGATCATGTAATATTTCTAATTCTTTTTTCACTTCTGGTATTCATTTTGCCCAAATTCCAACAATCTATTAGAATTCAATACAGGGTATAGATGGTTTTCATATTGCCCCTCTTTTATTGCGCAATATTTAGTATATATAAAAAACTAAGACCCACAGTGAGTCTTAAACTATCAAAGATACAGAAATTACATAATTTTTATAGAGGGTATATAAAGTACTTATCAAAATAAAAGATATAGATATAAAGTACATATAAAAATAATGCAAACAACTGGCTTGCTAGATTCATAAGAAAGAATTGATTTTACTTTATTTTGAACTTCCTGTTTGTCCATTTTTGCCATAAATCATTTTAATTTTCTATTAAGTATACTCCTATCGCATTGATGTATTTAATAACTCGTTTTAGTAAGTATTTATATTTCAAGATTTCTTCTGATATAACTCAGGTTTGAAATTTTTATTATTAATTAGTTTGGATTTATTAAATATCAGTTATTACCGAAAGAACAATTGTTGTTTTTGTAAATTATCAATCTCATCGAATTAATTGAATATTGTTCAACGTGTACCTTGAAGTTAATTATTTTGGCAAGATTCATCGCAGACAATAAGTGACTAAGGATACGATATTATAGGACAGGCAGAATAATAAGTACCCCGTGCAAAGAAAACAGCTTTTAAAGTCTTTGAGTGCAAAGGTACCAGCTTTTAAAGTCTTTGAGTACAAAATACACCAACACTTTAGCAAAAAGTAGAGATATTCTAATATATATTACAGTTTTCGAAACCGATTTTATAGTACTGAAGTACTAAAATCTACAAATGGAAAAGGAGGCTAAATAATCAAATTTAAGAAAAATGATCTCTAAAAAAGTAGCCCAGACACCTTTGCAGAAATGCTGAGGTTTAATCTTTCATGGATTGCTTCATGCATGATTTCACCTACACTTTGATGTTTGATCAGGAACATTTTAATACTTATTTATCTTTAATGGTTCCATCCCTAATTTTTGAAGCTGTTAAATGAAATGTTCTCTGGTGCAATGATCCTACGAACAAAACCTATTCATTATCAATTACCTTAAAGAATTTTTGTGTAGAATTAAAATACTATTGACAACAACGTATTTTTCCAGTAAACATACCTAAAAGTTTATTTCTAAAAAGAAATTTCATGTAGTTTTACATCTGAAAATCATATTTTGGTGCTAATATTTGCCAACTACATTTAAAGTTCAAGTCCTGGCCGACACAGAGCAAAATCGATAAAAAAAGGTGAAATTATTCCTTCGTATAGCGAACTGTTCTTTGAATTATAAGTTGCGGGTATTTCAGATGAATACTAATTGTGCTCTTTTTTTTTTTAGCTGACCTGTTATTTATTCCTATGAAGCAGGATTTATTCAAAATTTTTTTACAAGATAAGAGGAAAACACTAGGAGTTGCCTTCAATTCGACATTCTGATATATCTACGATGTTTTTTTTTTTTAAAAAATTAAGAATACATATTTTCTTTCGTAAGTCGACTTAATTTATCAAAGTAAACTTGAAAAAGAAGACTCCACAGAGTCTGCCAAATCTGTTTTATATTTTGATATTTTACAGACTATAGAAGATAAAGGCTAATTAACAACTAAATTAAATTGTATGAAAAAGGAGATGATTTAAGCCTTCCCATCGTCAACTTTATTCATATATGTTTCCAATATAACATTATCACCTGCTTATGGCATTTATGTCTCCCAACTTATCCGCTACTCAAGAGCTTACTCTGGCAACTAAAAGTCTTTAAAGAGAGGCATGCTACTCACTGATAAGTTGATGCTACAAGGCTTTCAACAAACTTGTTTAAAGTCGGCATTTCGTAACTTTTCTTGACTTTATAATAACCTTGTTAGCAAATATAACACATCATTTAGGCGTATTTTGACTGACTTGTTTCATACCTATTGTAAGAACTTTGTATTTGTACTTAATTCTGTCTACCTGGTCGATGCAAATAGAGATCAAAGGGGGTGCTTACTCCTCCTAGGCACCTGGTCCCACCTCAGAAATTTCCGTGTCTAAGGCCCTCTTCGCATATCTTTATTGTTTATAGATTTTTTGAGAACTATCACCTTTCGCTTGTCTTCAACTTTCACACGTGACCTTAAAAAAACAAGGCCCCATATCACGGTAGGCGTAGGCAAGTTGAAAATTTCTCAGTGCTCAAATGCCCTGATTGCCAGTGAAAGGCTTAAATTTGAAGCACTGCAGCATTTAATGGCTATGTATATGTATGAGAGAAAAAAAAAAAGTCTTGAAATCAGTCCCTCCTGAGTATTATTTTAATGCATATTTTCCTAAAATGTAATTGGAAAATGTGAAAAGAAACTCTGCATCAATCTCAGAGAAACAGGCACACCAATTTAACAGGAATCTTCCTTTAAAGTGTGAGTATTATTATTTCATGGTTGTGTCAGCTGTAAGTGGGATGTAAAGGATCGCCAGCAAGGTGTCCGGTAAACATGTCTGATTGAAAAAAAAGAAAAGGAAGATTGTATTTTAGGTGTTGGTCTGCGGGAGTACATCTACTATAGTTAATTATAGTTAATTACACGGTGACAAGGCACACATACATCATCCAGGGAAATCTAATTTACACAGGGTGTATAGAAAGCTTGGTTACGTACGTTTCATAAATCTAGAAAGTAAACCCAACGACTTCTCTTTGTAGAGAAGATTAAAAGGAAAAACGAAAATTCCAAGTACATGTAAGAGAGTCAGCTGAATATTAGTAATTATGTATGGCTTTTATATACTTCTTGTAATTTATAATGTACATTTATATATATAAAAATACGTGACCATTTTTTAATTTGAAAAGAAAGTATTAGTTAATGAAAAATTCATACAGCGATTCCAATGCTACATGAAATGGATTCAGTTGAAGTTCTCTTAGATAGGAGTGTCTGTCGTTTCTTAAAAAAAATAAGGGTACATTATACCAACAAATTAATTTTTAAAAGTCAAATTGAATAAAACATAAATGTCTTTTCCAAACCGTCTAACTGTCACGCACGTGTTGTTATTTTGAAATGACCTTGACATTCGATGATGTAATATAATTACTTAATTGGATACGGAGGGAGGTCTCCATCTAACTTGAACATAACTGAAAATCATTTCTTTAGGTTTTTAAATATCATAATCATATTAATGAGAGTTTGTCAGGATAATCAAGGAACGTTCACGAAGTTTTGTGTCACAGCTATGCAAAGTTAGAGATACATGATTTCAAGCCTGGCTCTTACTTGAATTTTTTCATTTTCAAAACTTTCGTTACCTTCTGCAATAACAGATAATTGGAGAACATTGTATCGTTTGAAGAGGTAGTCATATACTTTTTATGCCTATCCGGAATCCTATTACAATATCTGACTCAAGAATTTAGGTGACAGTGAAGATGAAAATCTGTATGTAAAACTGGAGTTAAAGACAAGTAGTAGAGTCATAAATCAGGGGAAATCTCCCCATCAAGAACTGTTAGGATGTATCTCCATGATAAACGACAAGAAAACACTGTTATCACTCAATCAGCTTCGATATAATATTCCCTGTGATCTGAGAACGATGTAGATGAATTCAAAATGAAGAATAAAATAGCAAAATAAAAACTTCTGGCTATTATTTAATTATTCATCATTATTGCATCCTCTATCCTTTTTTTTTTAGATGAAGGATATAGTATTATAGAAAGATTCTAAAATCTGAGGTCGATAGCGATTGGTTTTGTACGATATCCATAATAACATTATGAGCGTCTCTCTAACATTGATTAAAATTAATCCGGCCAATACCAGGGAGTTTAAATGAAGACGAGGGTCTGGTAATTGCAGTCATTTGATTAAGGGAAACAACACAAAAGGAACTCAGAAAATCTTCACAAGGTTTGTCATTTGGTGTCGTTTAAAAGTTCTTTTGAGGTGTGCGTGTTAGGTTTTGAAAATGTTATGGCACTGTATGGTTAATTTTTTTTTGTATGAATCGGAATTTTGTAAATTTTAAACATAAACTTAAAAAAAAAGAACTGTTAAAATAGAATGTCAGCAATGAATTATATAAATGAGTTTTGCAGCATTCTCATACTCCATTATAGTTTTATTGATTGAATAACTTATAAATTATTAATTCAAATGTTTATTCGATTTAGATTTAATTCTAACGTAGAGAATTCGGTTAGATGTTAATAAGAAAAAAAGGTGTAAATGAATTTTAAAAAAATCAATTGCAGACAGGATACAGGAGATAAACACGCCCTGTGATTGTTCACGACACTAGATACATAACAGGTGGAACATGATGACCGATAATTCTTACAGATTACTTGTTTATGGTGATTATTCCCCTTAGGGAGGTATGATATGTACCGACGTACTGCACTTCTTCACATCTACAGCACCAAGATTTTCATGATTTCTTTCGTTAAAAAAAAAATTGGAAAAGTAAATGAAATTTCTGCAGGCCTTTATTCTCTTTAGTCTCTCAATAAAATTGAACTCTGAACATTGCCGCTTTGATATTAGATAGTTTCTTGTATCATACCGCCATATTTATTTGAAGATTATTTATGGATAAATAAAATACAATTTATAATGCATAAAAACTTTACTAAAACACACACAAATTAAACGATAAACTTAATGATAGTGGAACCTACAGTTTCTCTAGATATTAAATTATTAATATAAAAAGGTTGGTAAATACTTAAAAAAAATATATGCAAAGTAAGCTAAAGATCTCTTGATACTACCAATCCTTTTAATCTCTTCGAGTTGTTTTTTAAAGGAAAATCTTTTAACCCTCCCCCTCCCCCTGAAAATCTTTAAATTGTTTCTTTCCCCAAGGTCTTGTTTGGTCTTTAATTCAGGTCCAAAAAGAAGGAAAAGGTTTTGACCGTCTTAAAAATTTCCCCTTGGTGTCTTTCGTGTAGGTCTTTAAGAAATCTTCCTTGATCACACTTCATCCTTCAGGTTTCTTTGTAGATCTCTCAGTGGTCTGGATTGGTCGCAAAGCAATCGCTCAGGAAACTTTCAGAGGTCGTCCAAGATAGCATTTTAGCGATCAATCTCTAACAAATCTCTCAATGATTTCAAACATCCATTGACAACTTTCCTCATTTACGCAGTAATGTTCCACTTTCTTTTGAATTTGGTTTATACATCTCTCAACATATTAGATACTCTAGAGCAGGCTCTGAGTAAGATCAGTTTCTTAACTGAGGACTACTGATAGATAGGTTGACGTTACAGGGATTTCAACAACATCGTTTACAGTCAGCATTTCGTAGATTCTATAGTTATCATAATGACTTTGTTAACAAATATTAACTATTACACCATCGTTTTGTGGCAGAGTTGTTTCATACCAATTATGAGGCCTTTGTTTTTGTATTAAATTAAATATGGATTGTTTCGTTTACCTAATCAAAACATAGGTCTCACAGTGGGCATGACTAGAAGACATGGGATGCTTACTCCTCCTAGACACCGGATCCCACCTCTGGAATTTCCAGGGACCCGTGTTTATGCTCTCTTAACAAATTTGAGTTGTTCAAACCAATCACTCTTTTTTATCTCCACTTTTTAACATTTTTTTATATTCCCATGACGTATCCCATTACGTCACAGCCATAATTCATTTTCTTTGGACAATTTATAATTTCTTTTCTCGTTCTTGCTTGCGTTTCTAATAAAAACAGGATACAAGTTGCATATTCATAATTATTGGAGTGGGTAGAAGCTTGCAAATTCATTATTTTTGAAGAAGGTGAAGCTAGCAAAAAAGAGATCAATTTCATAAATCGAGTAAGCAAAACAAATAAAGTAAAAAAAAAATAAAAAAAAAAAATAAGACAATGGCTTAAAATGGTAAGGAACATATCATACAAAATTATAGATTGCTGTTAGGCACCTAATTCCACCTCTGGGATTTCTGAGCGTCTGTATTTTATGCTTTTTAAAACAGATTCATATTGTTTACTTACTGGTCACTGCTGAAAAAGCAGATTACAACATTGTCTTCGTTTGTAAGGCTCATTATATAGATTGTATTTTAGAAGAACTTGGATTTAGTTCTACAAGTGGTGACTCATAGTTCCCTTTCTAAGGAAGAAATTCTTCAAAATCATATGTCAGTTTTGAATATTTTTAATACCCAAGGAACCAAAATGAATTTGAGCTACCATATACTAGTATATACATATATATATTGGATTCCGTACCTTCATAAGAATCCTTACAAACAAAGATACATAGCGGGTTCCAGTGAAGGCTCAACCGAGCCTCCTTCTTTACTCCTCACTAAGATATTAACAGTAGTGAAGGAGAAACTTAAAGAATTCTGTGCACTAATATATTCAAGATGTGGTGTAAATCAGATGTAGATACATAAAAATTCTACGGAACTGTTTGACAATTTGAAATCACAAGATTTACCGAAATCAACAGCTTAAAAACGATTTCAACTATATACACAATCATTACACACGATAAATTAAAGTCCATACTTTCGTTATATCATTGACAGCTGCTTTTTCAATAAAAATGGAACACGTAAATTTACTTACCTCGTCATTGTTCATTTGCAAAATTATTTTAAAAAGATATTCTGATTGTACACACAAGTCTCTGAAGTTGACATCATCTAAAATAGCTTGAACTATAATTAAAATATATACAACGCAATGTCATAGTTAACAATAATCTAAAGTTTTAATGGAAACCAATCGACACTTCCATATTTTTTGGGACAAGACTGTTATGAAACATATTGAGATTAACAAACATTACAATATTCAAGATTAAAAGTCCATAAAATAATACAAAATAGGAGAAGAGCAAACACAGACCTCCCAATCATCAGAGGTGGGGTGTCATAAAGGAGATTCCCTGCAGACCGGTCACACCCACTGTGTGCTCCTTGTCATGATCGGGAAATAACGAAAAAATCTGTCCTCAATTCAGTCTATTAACAATGGACTAACAATTAGTTTGACTCGATGATAAATTGTATTTGCCGACAAGGTCACTGAATCGACATAGAACTTTTGAAATGTTGACTTAAAACGAGACTGCTGATATTCTTGTTTCATCAACTTGTTTGTCTATGATTTACCTTGTATTCAAATTTTTCATACGTAGCGAATGCTCTTGCATATCGAACCAACTGAGATATATAAACTCAGTGTGAAGTGATGAAGGCATATAGCTGCATAAGTATGGGAAGTTGACGATAGAAAGTTAGTCATCACGTTTATCATAGAGATTGGTTGTTAGAATACCATTAACGTCTTTTTCAAGTAAAATATACAAATATAGATGTTTTAGACTCTGTGGTATCTTTTATCTCAAGCTCACTGGGATATATCGCATCGACATAAGAATGGAAGCTATCATTGTTAATTGACAATACGTCGTCAATATATCTAAATGTCAAGTTGAGGGCTACAGCCAGTATTTCGTCTTTTTACGCATAAGATTTTGGACAAATTCTGCTTCATATGAATACAAAAATAGGTCTGCTTATAACGGGGCGCAATTCTTACCCATGGGAATTCCAATAGATTGTTGGAAGACCTGGTCTCCAAAAACAGCATCGATATTGTCAGTCAGAAACTCACTCCTCTATGACACTCCACCTCTGATGTTTCGGAGGTCTGTGTTTGCTCTTCTCCTATTTTGTATTGATTTATGGACTTTTAATCTTGAATACTGTTCATTTTCTCCATATGTTTCATCAGAGTCTTGTCCGAAAAAAAAATATGAAAGTGTCGATTGATTTCCATTTAAACGATAGATTGCGTTATATATCGGTATATTTTAAAAATAGATCAAGCTATATTATTATAAGCTCAGATATTATAAACTGAATACGAAATTTTGCATTAAAATGTTCTTTTCTGTAATATTTTCCGCCACTTTAGCAGCATCAAAAACAGTCAATTATTTAGCTGATTTGAGCACGTCGTATCTTTTTCGTTTTGTTGACATAATTATAATCATTATATTCAAGTCCATACATGAAAAAAATAATCAGAATGAAAACTGGTTGATGTTATACCTTGTATGTAAATTTTGATCAAATATTAACGAGGTTTCTAAAATTGAGGCAGTTTGAATGTCTGAACTAGTTTTTATTTCATTAAAAGCAGTTGCTCCTGCTCATTTTCAGATGTTTTTTATGTTTAAATTTTAAAAATGCCTTAAGATCTAACTTTGTTACTTTGATATTTCTGATGAATAATTTAAAAGTTTTTTTGGGGTGGAGAATGTTTTTTAAACCTGAGTTACATATTCTCTTTCTTAGTAAAAGTTATCAAGTTAAGAACTCCATTTCCTGATCAAAGGAATACTTTTACATCAATAAATAAGCACTTAATTCAATATTTATCAAAGAAAATACAATAAAAAATGTATTTAAAATGGAATAACAACCAGGGTAGTTTTTCCAGCTTGAAAAATGATAGAAGAAATTTATATACCGTAACATTTAATGCATCTTCTGGTTTCTCATGATTTTGTTTTTCATTTGCTCTTTCTGTGTTGATGAATACACAGTAAACATTTTATGGTTCTTGCTCTGTTCAAAATCATGTTTCTCTTTAGTAAAGCCGACTTCCTCTGACTTTTCTTCATCTTTATACTTTATTATTGATATTTTTTAACAATATTGAAATTCCATTAAAAAAATTAATTTTACATACCCTAAAACCTTGAAAATAAGCCGCGGTTTATTTCATGTTTTGGTAAGAAAGTGGAGGTTTCTTTTCAAAACCGTCTTATTTTCAAATCGCGGCTTATTATCAATACAAAAAAGTGGTAAGTGACGAGAACATAATCACGACTTTTTATTAATAAAATAAATGGTAATCGATAGATTGAGACCTACT